CAAGAGCAGGTTACTCTTACCTCTTAATACTTTAGAGATGTCTTCTGGGGGAGTGCCCAGGCCACTGTTGAGATGGGAAGTTGTAATCTACCCTGCCAACAACTTGAGAAGAAAAATGCTGTTTAGTACTTGCTTTCCTTGTAAGTATGTATTTTTTAGGATTGTCAGTAAAGAGCAAAAGTGATTTCTCTTTTTAAAATAATCTCTCCACTTATTCCAAAAAGACACATCTTAAGGACAGTGAGTCAGTTAAAAGATTTTAAAAGGGGAAGCCACATACCCGGAAACCACATATTCAGAAGGGTGAAACTGTAAGTACATTTGATGCAGAGCTTCTGCTATTGGCAGAAGACAGAAATAATGGACTGAATAATGCTGGCAATGTCTGTTTGAGGGCACACCTTCAGTCCTAGGAGAGGCCTTAGTCAATCATCTTTCAGCCTGGGAGTGTCTGCAAGGCCTTTTGGTGATCTGACTGGCAATAAAGAGCACACAGTCTGTGTTTTGGGGGAAGGAGGGCGAGGTGGGGTTGAAGTGAGATTGCTCCTCCATGAAATCATTCTTTCTATACAGATATACCCTACATTTGTCCTGCTTTCTTGCCATGGACCTGGGCAGGGGGAGGAATTTCCCAAGTCTTAGTATCTGAAATAGTTTTTTACACTTAACCCAGAACAGCAGGTCACTGACTTGTGACTTTGGGTTGCCAGCTGGAACCAGAAGTCTGGAAAGCTTATAGCTGAATTTGGGCCTGCCATTGGCACTTGCACAGGTCACGTCATGGCACTCAGGTCTCAGCGTGTGAGCTGACTGCAGTTTGAGTGGGTACCCTGAGAGTCCCCTGACTGATCCAGGGTTGTCCTGGGTGTAGAACTGGGCCAGGAAGCTCCTACAGTGATTTTGCCCTTTATGCCTTGCTCTGGGTTTCCTACTCTTGTTTTTCTTTTTTTTTTTTTAAAGAGAGAGTGAGAGAAGGAGAGAGAGAGAGAGAGAGAGAGAGAGAGAGAGAGAGAGAGAGAATTTTAATACTTATTTGTTTTTAGTTATCGGTGGACACAACATCTTTCTTTGTATGTGGTGCTGAGGATCGAACCGGGGCCGCACGCATGCTTGGCAAGCGTGCTACCGCTTGAGCCATATCCCCAGCCCTCTTGTTTTTCTTTAGCTTCATTTTCTTGTTCACTTTTTGTCTTAAATTTTGTCTGTCATAAATCCTCTCTGAAACAGGGAAGAATATATGTACACTTAATTCCTAGTATCGAAATTTTCTACAAGAGAACACCCGTGTTCTCCCTTCATTCTTTGACCTCAACTTCTAAAATTATTTTACACTTGAACTTAACCAAAAGGCCAAGAAGCCCTATCTGAGGTGATTTTTTTTCATGAGTCCTTTTAGACTTGCCACTCTGTAAATTGCAAATGACATGCTTAATAATGGTTTTGGGGAACTTGAAAATAACTCTCACAGCATTTTAAAAATAAAAATCAATATAACTGTTTAAGTTTAGAAACTTTAAAACAAAGAACTCAATTTTACTGTTTTTCTTTTAAGTTTTTGCCTGTTGGATAAAGAAAGGTTTTTATTACAAAAGTAAAATTTTCTGTTGTCCTTATCTCTTGGTTTCTTTATTTGCTTGTTAGCCCAAAGCTTTCCTCCAGGTAATTTTTTTCCCCTAATTCTAAATATATGAATCAGTTGGAAAAAAAAAGAAAATTCAGACTTTCTGGCCCCCTATCCAGAAATAACTGTAGTGACTATTTTGGAGTGGAGTATACGTTATCTTATTTTTGTATGTATATATTTGTTCTTCTAGAAAGCCACATCAGAACCTGCTTTTAAGCTGACCATATCTTAGAATTATTTACCCAGGACAGTGGTTATGCTATAGATGTAGTGTTACACAGAAATGAATTTTATGTAGTTTTCCCTAAAAATGTCATTTAATAGAAATGGAGAATATGATATCAAGTCCTCACAGGACACAGACATTCTACTAAGTTAGGATTAGGCCAGCAGCATTACTGAACTGTGATTTGACTTGGTATAGGGGTAGTGGTTAGAGCCTAGAAGAATGTAGAAGTTGCTTGGCACTCTCAGATTTCAGTTGTCTTATCTAGGCTTTAGGAAGAGTTGGGTATCTGGCCATTGAAAATTGAACTGTCTGGCAAGGGCCTCTGGAAATGTCCTGTTGTGTCAGTTAAGAACTGCCGGTAACAAATGTGTTGATAGTCAAGTTGCCATTTACTTGTGGAAACTACAGACTTTTGCCTATTTCTATTACAGAAGGAGGGCCAACTTGCTTGGTCAGCAACATTTCCTTAAATTCTTTGAAATTATTAATGTGCCCCTTCCCTCCCTAAGGGTGAATTATGAATTATGTTCCAGAACTTATTCACAGGTGGAGTTCTTTAAGATAAAATTACCTAATTGAACAGATAACAACTTCTTAAGATTGGAGGGTTTACAAAGACTTCATGCTGAGAGATATACCTTAAAACACCATCATTTAGATCAGAAAAGGACAGCATGTTGTTTTTCTCTGGGTTACCTAAAAGGGAGCAGATAATAATTGGGTGGAGTTACTGTGAGACTGTAGAGGGGCCTTTAAAGATGGTTGACGATTAGATTATCTGTCTTTAAAATTAATTGTTTTCTCTTCTTGGACAAATTACACCACTTGAAATCACAGTTGAGACATTAAGTGCAACTGTGATAGGCATGTTGCTAGTGCTTACTGTTCTGGGTTCTGTCTGGGGGCATGTGAGGAAGCAGGGCCAGGTGAAATATTAAAGAGTCTGGTGTTTTAAGCAGAAATACCTAAAATTTAAAGTCTTATAAGACTTGTATCTTGTAACACTGAGATTGAGAATAAAACAAAATTCTAATAAAGTACATAGCTTGAGGGTTGGGGTTTTAAGCCAGATATGTGAGAAGCATTTTCCACAATAGCTTCATTCCAGTTTGCAGTCTTGCAACTGACTATTCTGTGTTTGGTCTACACTTCCCTGTCTCTCTCACTTTTTCTTTAACTACATTATTGTATTTACAAGTTCCTGTTTACCCTCATAATAAATGATACTAATATAGTGCCAGGCAGGCTTCTAAGCACTTTACATGTAACAATTTATTTAACCCTCACAACCATTTGAAAAGACAGATACTATTATTCCCAGTTTATAGGTCAGGAAACTGAGGCACAGAGTAATTTACCAAAGTTGAGCCAGGATTCTTATCCCAGCATCATGATCCCAGAGCCCATGTATTGTAGATTGCCTCTTTAATAGGTTGTTCTTTTTTTTTTTTTTTAATTTTTTATTGTTGGTTGTTCAAAACAATAGGTTGTTCTTTTGAAGTGAGGAATTAGTTACTTCATCTTCCAAATAATACTACGGTGCTTTTGTATTTTCATAGTTTTTTGGGTTGGCTACTTTAGCACTACTTTGAACTTGGTCTGTTTTTAGTACTCACATTTCAGTTTAGAAGCACCATATGTATTAACAAGCTAAAGTTAAGTAGCTGTTATTCCTCATCCTTTCAAAATCAGTCATAAAATGATACAGACTATTTAGCTTTGAATTACATTTCAGAAGTTTTGGATAGTAGTATATTTCAACTCCAGTGAACCTGTGAATTTTCCTTCTGGATAACTGTTTTCTTATTCTTTGAGTCAGTTTTCTATAGGTTGGAATTGTAGGAAGTATGACTTGGGGTATGAAAAGTGGTGAGAAGCTTATCTGGAAATGATTTCTGCCCTTTTGCAAACACATATGTGTCATCTTTAATTCACTTATTATTTGTGAGTGGTTAGTATTCATTCCACACGTTTATTTACCTCTGTTATGTGTCAAGCACTGAAATTATTTACATTTTTAAAGAATCATAACTGCCAAACAAAACAACACTTCTATACAAGGAGAATTCAGAGGGATGGGGTTATGGCTCAGGGGTAGAGTGCTTGCCTCGCATGTGCAAGGCCCTGGGTTTGATCCTCAGCAGCACATAAAAATAAATAAATAAAATTAAATAATAATAAAAAAAAGAATACAGTAAGATTTCTTTTTCTTTTTGTACTGGGAATTGAACCTAGGAGTGCTTAACCACTGAGCCACGTCCCCAACCCTTTTTGTGTTTTATTTAGAGAGAGAATCTTCCTAAATTGCTTAGAGCCTCACTAAGTTGCTGAGGCTGGCTTTAAATTTGTGATCTTCCTGCTTCAGCCTTCCAGATTACAGGCGTGTGCCACCACCACACCCAGCTGAGTCAGATTTCTTGACTTGAATGAGGTTAGTTTAGTTTTGCCATCACCTTCTGGAGGTTGGAAGAATGCTGGGAAGTCATCGCCCCTCCAGAAGTGACCACATCAAAGGAGCACCTGTGGATTTGTCATACATTCTGTTTAGGTTGCAGCTCATTCACATTTGCCAAGGGACTGGTCCCTTTATAGGTGGGTTTGGTTTCTCTCCTATATTTCTTTTTCTTTTTTTATTATTTTTTAATATTTATTTTTTATTTATAGGTGGACACAATGTCTTTATTTTACTTTATGTGGTGCTGAGGATTGAACCCAGTTAGGGTGAGCACTCTCCCTCTGAGCCCCAGCCCCATCTTTTTCTTTTTTTAATAATAAGAATATAGGGGCTGGGATTGTGGCTCAGCGGTAGAGTGATCACCTAGCATGGGCGGGACCCGGGTGTGATCCTCAGCACCACATAAAAATAAATGCATTGTGTTGTGTCCATCTACACCAAAAAATAAATTTAAAAAATATTTAAAAAAAATAAGAATATAGAAGACAGAGCGATCAAGAGTGAGTTCTGGAGCCACGTCAGAGTTAGCTGTACACCAAACTGGTATAAAAAAGTGTGTGTTGTGTGGATTTGTAAGGCCACAGAAAGCTAAGTATCTATCATGGTGAGAATTTGAATGTTTTGTAACATAGAACATCTCATGTGACTTGCAGTTTTATTTATCTCTAGGCTATAGACAAAACAGTATACGTAAATGTTCCCGATAGGTTGACTGTTAGCAAAGTAGCTGATAGAAAATGTAGTGGGAATTTTTTATGGTCATGTCTACAGCAAATGAGAAACTGCATTCTAAAAGCCTTAGTAATGACCATTTCTCTTATAGTTCTCTTTCTTTTTTTCGCTCATTCTTTCTTTCTTGGTACTGGGAATTGAACTCAGGGGCACTTGACCAGCCCTATTTTTTAAATTTTATTTAGCTTTGACTGAGTTGCTTAGTGCTTCAGTATTGCTGAGGCTGGCTTTGAACTTACAATTTTCCTTGTCTCAGCCTCTGAGCCACTGGGATTACAGGTGTGCGCCATTGCGCCACCCTCCCCTTCTTCTTCTTTTTTTTTTAAAGGAAAATAGTTTTTGTGAAAATGAATGTATATGATATAGCATTTAATGCTGTAGAGTTATGAATTTTTTTTTAAAGAATAAAAAGTGGTATAGAATAGTAGTTCTGTTTAAAATCCATAAGGCATTAAGGGGAAACATTAGCAACTACTTTGTTGTATCCATTCTAAAATGCATTTTCTCCCCTGACATTTTAACATCTCTGAAATTTGGACGCATCTTATAGATGTTGGCATGATGGGATTATGATTGGTGGTATTTTTTTCTTGATAGATGAAATGGTGCATCTTACAATTAACATTCTAGATTTGATGAAAAGGAAATGTTTAGCAGAAAGTTGAATCCCATCAAATTTTTCTTTTGCTTAAAGAAGTGTGAAGTTGTTATATATTTTTAAGATTTTGATTGAGAAATGAAGCCAACTACTTCATTGAAAATTTGTTTTCCAAGAGTACTTTATTGTAAATTGTTTCTAAAATTACAAAAGTAATACTATGTTTTAGAATTTTATAGTTCATTTGGTAGAGTGTTTGCCTCCCATGCACAAGGCCCTGGGCTCCATCCCCAGCACCACCAAAAAAAAAAAAAAGAATTTCAGTTTTGCAAAATGAAAAAAGTTCTAGGGATGGATGGTGGTAATAGTTGCATCACAACAATGTGAATTATCTAATACTACTGAACTGTATACTTTTAAAATTTTTTTGGCACTGGGGACTGAACCCAGGGTTGCTTTACTATTCAGCTACATCCCAAACTCCTTTAAAAAAAATTTTTTTTTTTTTTTTAAATTTAAGACAGGGTCTCGCTGAATTGCTTAGCACCTTGGTAAGTTGCTGAGGTTGGCCTCAAACTTGTGATCCTTCTTCCTGCAGCCTTCCAAGTTGCTGGGATTATAGGTATATGCCTCCAATGCCAGCTTGAACTGTATACTTAAAAATGCTTAAGATGTTAAATTTTATGATATGTGTATTTTATCAGTTAAATTTTTCTCAAAGCTAAGTGATATGATATTTATGAAAGTTTCCCCTTAATACAGAGACACATAGACTAAGAAACAGTGACAGTCTTCTTTATCCACTGTTTAGCCTCTCTAAATTTTGCTAGTTCTATACTTTTTCCCAGAGGTTTGGAATATATTTTCAGATACATCTATTATATCTATCTATCTCTATATATGTTTGTTTGTTTTTGGATTTGGGGATTGAATCCAGGGGTGCCCTTAACCACTAAACTACCTCCCCAATCCTTTTTAGTTTTTATTTGTATTTATTTTAATTTTTAAATTTTGGTACGGGGGATTGAACCACTGAGACACATCCCCAACCCTTTTTTAATATTTAATTTAGAGTTTGGGTCTCACTGAGTTGCTTAGGGCATCGCTAGGTTGCTGAGGGTGGCTTTGAACTTGGAATCCTCCTGCCTCAGCCTCTTGAGCCTCTGTGATTACAGGTGTGTGCTACCATGCTTAGCATCTTTTCAGATATTTTTCTCTTAAGACTTTGCACTAAAGATGTGTATATGTTTAATTTTATCTGCCAAGTCACTTTTTACTGTACAAATACTATTATTAGCAGTTAAGTTAAAATAAAACAGAGGAGAATATTATTTGGAAAATGCTTTTTTAATTTCATTAAGATTAAATTTACCACACATCAAGCACCCCTACTGTGGAAATCCAGAATGCTCTGATACATGATGAAACTTGAGTGCAGTGTTCAATTCTGCCAGGGTCAGATTTCAGAGCACTTTGGACTTTTGGATTAGATCTGCTCAACTGGTAGTCTGTGTACCTATTCCAAAATCAAAAAAAAAAAAAAAGAAAGAAAGAAAGAAAACTCCAAATTTCAAACACTTCTGGTCCCAAGCATCTCAGATAAGGGATACTCAACCTATATTTCTTTTATTCTCCATTATATGTATTTCCTGAAAGTAGTCTATGTAAATAAATTGTAGTAAATTACTTCAGTTCTAAGTAGATAGCCTAAGTACAAGGTAAAGGGCATGTGATAGCCTTAAATCAGTTGTTTGGTATAAGGATGCTTTTGTTTCCTCTTAATTGATCCTTAGTCTTTTCTTGATCCTGTGTATCTCTGGCTTCCTTCAACCCTCTACTCTGCTTCTGGGGATTTCATCTGTCCTCTACTCCATTACCTTTGGTGACTTCTGGTGGTTTTTGTAGTATAAAGGCCCACGTGTCTGGCAGGCTCTGGAGGACCTGCAGAGTTTTCCCTACTTGACAACTCTCCGCACTTCCACGCTCTTGCATCCTGGTCTGCCTTGGTGTCCTTGATGGTCACCCTGTCTAGGGAAGCATTCTCTGTCTTACAGGTCTTGTTCACTTGTAGTGATTCTTTCAGAGAGCTTATTTTAGTTCTTGATAATATGTACATGAGTGAATGTCCTAAATGCCTCTCTTCTAATGTCAGCTCAATGAGTTGGGTGATGTTTTGTTCACCATCACATTCATTTTTCTTGGCACATGTTTGGCACTTGATCAGTGTTCAAAGAAAATTTACTGAATGAATAATTTGACTCTTTTCTTTTGGTACCAGGGATTAAATCCAGAGGTGTTTACCCACTGAGCTATATATCCAGCCCTTTTTTATATTTTATTTAGAGACAGGGTCTTGCTGAGTTGCTTTTTAGGGCCTCACTAAATTGCTGAGATTGGCTTTGAAATCACAATCCTCCTTGTTTAGCCTCCCAAGCTGCTGGGATTATAGGTATACACCACAATTTGACTTCTTTTTCTTTTCTTTTTTTTTAATATATTTTTTTAGTTATATATGGACACAATATCTTTATTTTTTATGTAGTGCTGATGATCGAACCCACATGTGCGAGGCAAGTGCTTTGCCACTGAGCTACAGCCCAAGCCCAACAATTTGACTTCTTGTAGCTTGTTTTATAGAGTTGAGGAGTTGGTCATTAGGAGTTGATATATCAGAAAGTAACCTGACTATCCAGGTCTTGGTGTCTGGCAGTTTGGTTTTCAGTGAAACTGAACTGCAACTATTTTAACACTTCATCCTTCGTTTTTGTTGGGTTCTTTTAAAAAAATGAATTTGGATCTGGGCATGATGGTATACATCTGTAATTCCAGTATCTCGGGAGGCTGAGGCAAGATGATCCACAAGTTCAAAGCCAGCCTCAGCAATTTAGCAAGGCCTTAAGCGACTTAGCAAGAACCTGTCTCAAAATAAAAAAATTAAAAAAAAAAATAAAAGGCAGGGGGCTGGGAATGTAACTGAGTGGTTAAGCATGCCTGGGTTCAATTTGTAGTTCAAAAAAAAAAAAAAATTGGATTCTGCGTATCTGGGAGCCTGGGCTTCCATTAAGAGGAATCAAACAAACCAAGAAAATCAAGCAATCATATGTAGTGGTTCAAAATGAGCAGATATGTGAATTTCTAAAAATAAGCCTGGAACAAACTGTTCTCTAATTGATATTTATTTTAATTCCAGAACATGGTCCAAGACAATTCCTGGGAAAGTGGAGTTCTTCTCTAGTGAGGGTTCAGACACATCTATACCAATTCCAATAGTGCCACTACGGGGCGTGGATGACTCCTACCCACCCCAGAAGAAGTCTTTTATGATGCTCAAGTACATGCATGACCACTACTTGGACAAGTATGAATGGTTTATGAGAGCAGATGATGATGTTTACATCAAAGGAGATCGTCTGGAGAGTTTCCTGAGGAGTTTGAATAGCAGTGAGCCCCTGTTTCTCGGGCAGACAGGACTGGGCACCACAGAAGAAATGGGGAAACTGGCCCTTGAGCCTGGTGAAAACTTCTGCATGGGGGGGCCTGGTGTGATCATGAGCCGGGAGGTGCTTCGGAGAATGGTACCACACATTGGCAAGTGTCTCCGGGAAATGTACACTACGCACGAGGATGTGGAAGTAGGAAGATGTGTCCGGAGGTTTGCAGGCGTACAGTGTGTTTGGTCTTATGAGGTAAGAGCAGAAATCTTTATTATAGGAAAGACTGTTAATTTTGTCATTAGTTCTGAATCAGTTGTAGGAAATTAGTGATAATCCTTTTCAAGGGTTAAAATTAGTATAAATTATACATTTTTAGCCTCGGGTTTTTGTTTTTTTTCTTCCTAAGGTTTGAGTTCCCCTTAATACCTTTTCTCTTGGTCTTAGCTTTTGAAGCATGCCTTCCATACCTTTGTCATAATTCTTTGGTTGATGAATAATGACACTTGGGGCTTAAATAACACTAGTGGTTTGCTGATGGTCATAGTGACATTTTCATGATTTTTTAGAAAATCATTTTATCTGATTTCTGCTGACTCCACAGATAAAATTGACCATTCTAATCTGGACATGATGACCTACACAGAGTAGAAATTTACATATTTTGAATTTACAAAATGATTAGTAATGTGAAAAAAACGTAGCATTTGGCTTTGCATTTATTTTGAACTTTAGGGCTTGGGTAGAGTGTGTACTTAGCATACATGGGGCTTGGAGTTGCATCCCCAACACCATAAATAAACAAATATTTTGAACCTTGACTTTTTGGATAGTTGTTATAACCTGTACGTTTATAATGTAGTTCCTTTCAGATGAGGTGGTAGGCAGTTTCTGAATTACCTTGACATGCACATGAAACTTGTTTTTTTTTTTTTTTGGTTTGTTTTCTCTAAAACCTGAGCCTTTTGAAGGAAATCTACTTGTGGTTGTTTTCTAATTAATAGTTCCAGAGGATATGAGTTAGCTTTTTTACTTTTTCTGTTTTTATTGGCAGATGTGTACCTCTTGTCTGCAGTTGCAGGATCTAACAGTGAAAAAAATGGTTTAGGTTGTGTTGTGTTTAGATCGATAAACTACTTGTAGTTGTGAAGAGCAGAGGGAATTGCTAGGCCTTTTGCCCAAGAAAAAGAATGTACTTTCTGATGTGAACTGTTACCTCTTTCGGAGTTAATTTTCTAAAATACTTGAGTGAAGAACTGGTGTTCTTGTCTGTACTTGCCTTCCCCCCACACTTGCTTTTAAACGTCTTATAATCACTGTTAGATTTGTTTGAACTTTTAGGGAGGTAGACATTTTCAAGTGCATAGGAAATGGTCTTTGTGTAATTTTTAATTTTAAATTTGCAAAGGTATTTTAAAATGCTAGGTGTGATCTGAATGAATCCCTTAATCTTCATGTGCCTATACCACTCCTCCCACCTGCTCCATTATGTAGGTGTTTTGCTGGCTGGGCCAGGAGGATCTCTGTTTTCATGAATTTTTGCAAGAGGAAGGCCATTTGGGGATTCCATGTTGTATTAAGCAAAATACTGCAGTATTTCTGCATTTTCTCCATCCTTAATTAAGTAGATACAGCCTTAAAATATTTCATCGGTGCTAAAATATTTAATGCTTTGGGTAGTTTGGGACACTTTCTCCTGACCCTTATCTCTGAGAAGGGAGCCTTCTTGGTAGATTTGTAGAGGAAGTGCCTACTTCTGAGAGAGAATTGTTTTTCAAAATGTCTTACTGTAGTTATATTTGCATCTTAGATACTGCTAAGTAGATAGATATCATTAGAGCCAGTATCTTGAGTTAAATCAAGAACTTTGATACAGCACCGGTTCCAAGATATAGTTGTAAAGTAGTGTCCTGGGACTGCAAGAATTGGAAGACTGGGGGATAGTTTTCTTTTTTAAAAGTAATCTAACTTTAAGGTTTCCAACACCCTAGACAGGGATGCCTGGGATCATCCTGTGTGAACGCCTGGAGCCACCTTTTAGACTTGACACATCTGCAAATGGCCTCATTAGTAAAAGGGGACCTGGTTGGTGAGGAAGCTCTCTCCTTGGATGCTTCCCTTTCTCCCTGCCTTGCAGTTGGGTCAGCCAACTGCAGTAGGGAGGATCTCCCTGGGAATGTGGGGCAGTCAGTCAGGGTGTTTCTGCTGCTTTGCATAAATGCCTTATGATGACAGGGCTTTTACTAGATACTGCTGGCTTACTCTCCCTGGTCTTAGGCCAGGTGGCTCTGTTACCAGCAGTGCTGACTGTTCTTTTTTCTCTCCTATGAGTTGCCTGTTTGTAGTTTTGGCCCACTTTTCTGTTGGAATGTTATATGTCTTAGGGTTTTGTTGGAGTGCTTTGTTTTGAACAGTGTCTTCTCTCAGACCATGACTTGTCTTTTTATCTTCATTGTGAAATTTTTATTATAGGCAAATTGTGAATCTAATTTATCATTCTTTTCCTTGATGTTCTCCCCCAACTCTCCCTTTTTTGGGAATAATCTTGTTTAAGGAATTATTCCCTTCCTGAGGTCACAAAGATTTTCCCCTATATATTTTTCTGTATGTTTAAAATTTTACCTTACATATGTGGTTCTTCATTATCATTTTAAAGAATTATGTCCATTGGGATATTTACCATTTTGTTAGATTTTTTTTTTCTTTCTTTCTTTTGTTAAGGCCTTAAGAACTTGTAAATTATTAGAATTTATCATTGTGTTCACCATTCAGACAAGATGAATCTTTCATGTTGGTAAGGAATTTTCATTAAACATCCTGTAAATCTGGTTTCTTCATTAAAGCTTACATAAGAAAATTTTGAGGTAGAGTCTTATGGTAAAGACAGTTATGTTAAGCTTTGGGTCTTGGAAGGTACTTATTTTGCTCAATTGTAAACCTAACCAGAAGGTGTGATTTTTTTTTTTTTTCCACAAATAGAAATAATGCCTTGGATAATATCTACATAATTGACTCAAGAGTCATGAGGAACAACCATCAAAATCAAAACCCAAATTTATTTCTAAGCTTATTTTGATTACTACTGGTAGTTATTTATTAATAAATAAATGACTTTTAAAACTTTACTTGGAAATAATTTTAAACTCACAGAATTTATGGGAAAGTTGAGAATATGGGCCTGGAGACTGTTAAATACTGGGAAAGTCTATAGGAGTTTATCTATAGCAAGGTCTGGTTGCCCTTGTCACTGGGAGTTGGCATCATTAATTCAAGTTTTACAAGATTTTTCTGAGAAACATGATCAAAAAATTTGAAAATCTAACTTGTTTTATTTAAGCAAATATTAATTCTGTTCTTTTAAAAAGGGAACAAAAAGAATATTTACCCACATAATCTATTGGTTTTATGTTTTAGTTTTTAATTGGCGTATTCCTGTGGAAAAAACGTATAGATTGTTAAGTGCAGAGCTCTGTGGATTTTCACAAACTGAACACAGTTGGGTAACCAGCACCCAAATCTTTCACTTATTTTAATACAGTCTTTGACTTGTAAAAAAAAAAAAAAAAGGCATTTGGGGTAAGATAATTATTACTAAAGAAATTTGGAGATAGGCATAGATGGATTTAATACTTTTTCAAAAGTTATTGATTTTAATGATTAATGCTGTCACATGGTTCAGAATTCAAAATGGAAAGAGTTTACAAGGATAAATCTCTCCACTTCTCTCTCACTGGGTTTCAAAGATGAGTCAGTTCCTCAGTGTGCAGAGAGGCACCAGGAGGTGTCACAGGGTATATCACATCATGTACAAACCATTTAGTTTATGTATCTTTCCCCTTTTACACGAATGCATGTTAATATACTATTTACAGCTTGCTATTTTTCACTTAAATTTCTTGGAACATTTTCTGTGTGGTTCATCATCTTTTACAAATGTCCCTTAAGTTCTTTTCAGCAGTTTTTCTAATCAGTCATTTAGCATAACACTTCCCAACCTTTTTCACATCATGGTACTCTCACACACTGGGAGACTGACTTCAAGGGCTTCTTACCCCAGCCCCTGTCTGCTGCAACCACTCCTAACCCCATACCACCCCAGACCTGGAGCAATGGCAATCTGGGCACACCTGAACTTGTTCATAATATACCTGTATGCCAAGGTACACCAGTTGTGATGCTCGATGTTAGCTGAACTAATAGGAAAATTGCAAAAGATTGAAACGTGAATGGCATTCTTTTTCTTCCACAAAGACTTTCTATACAAATTTGAGGAGACAAAGATATATATGTTCACAAAAAGGAAGAAAAGTAAAGTATGAGACCCCATGATACTGATTTTAAATTAAAGAAACTATAAGGAAGGCAAGATCGATGATGTTCTTTTTTTGGCAAGGCACATTATCTGTGGAAACCAAAGTTTACAGCAAAATATATAAAGAAGAAAAGATCTTTATTTGGCTGATTTATAAAGGCATATTGAACATTGTAACATCAGAAACCTGGGTTGTTTTTTTTATTCTTTACTAATAGAAGAAGTAATATCTCCTAATTGGTGGTTGTCATGGAGATGATTCATGTTGGCTTCCTCCTCATTTAGGCTGCCCAACCATCTCACCTACCAGAGAACCCGGCAGCTCCCACCCTGTGGCCAGAGTAGATGTATCACAGACCACACACTAATGCTTTACGGTATTTCTCATGCTTACACTGAGCCTTATTCTTTTGTTCTGGAGGTTTCGAAGTTCAGCTATTCAGCCTCTACTAGATTAGAAGTGGCAAATTATCACCCCTAAAAGGGAACTACTGTACAAAGCCTATCAACAGTGAGCAGGAAATTCATGAGGGGAAACTGAAAAATTAGAGAAAGTGAGCAACACAGCAGTCTACGACCAGTCATTGTGCTGTGGAATTCTCGTTTCATTCCATTGTGATTGGCAAATGTACTTTGTATGATTTCAATTATTTTAAAATAATTGTAATGTTTTTATGCGTAACATATGTTCTTTCCTGGAGAATGTTCCATGTATACTTGAGAGGAATGCTGCTGTTTCGTGGAATGTTCTGTAGATGATTGTTAGGTTTAGTAGCTTTATGTTGATCAAGTTTTCTGTTTCCTTGTTTATTTTTTTTTTTCTGATATTCTAGTCACTATTGAAAGTAGAGTATTGAAGTTTGCAATATTGTTGAATTTTCTTTTTCCTTTCTGTTATGTCAATTTTTTCTTCATTTTGGGGATTTGTTTTTAGGTATATAAA